TCGGGGGCAGGGGGGTGGTCATGGTACGCCTGTGCATGGTATGCCTGTGTATGTCTGTGCACCGTGTGTGTGTGTCTGTCTGTCTGTTGCCCAAGGAGGTCAGATTCCCTGGAGCTAGAGTTAACAGACATTTGTGAGCCCCCATGTGTACTGGAAACCGAACCCAAGCCCTCTACAAGAACATCCAGTGCTCTTAACCACTCGGCCATCTCTCCAGCCCTGTGGTCAGGGTTTTGAGGAAAGTAGACACCTTCTTCCTAAGGGGTTCTTTTCTTTTTAAAAATTTTATTAGTGTGTTGGTGTGTGTGTGTGTGTAAGCATGATGTGTATATTTGCGCACCTATGCCATGGTACATATGTGGAGGTCAGAAGTCAACTCTGTGGCATTGGTTCTCTCCATCCACCATAGGGTTCTGGGGATCAGATTCAGGTCACCAGGCTTGCATGGCAAGCGCCTTATCCCTCTGAGCCATCTTTGCAGCCCCTCCTAAGGGTTTCTTAATTCATAATTCGGGGGGGCGGTAATTCTAACTTTTTTTTGTTTGTTTTTGGAGGCAGACTCTTGCTGCATAGTCCAGATTGACCTCAAACTCATGATCCTCCTGCTTCAGCCTCCTGAGTGCTGAGATTACAAGCGTGAGACATCAGGCCTAGCTGAGAATTTTTCAGATTTATTTGTGTTATTTTTAATTTTGTGTATGGGTATGTGCACATGAGTGCACACACCCACAGAGACCAGAAGAGGGTGCCAGTTCCCCTGGAGTTGGATTTGTAGGCAGCTGTGAGCCACCCAACTTGGGCGCTGGCAACAGAACTCGGGTCCTCTGCAAGAACAGTATGCATTTTTAACCACTGAGCCATTTCTCCAACCCTAAGCTAAGAATAAATCTTTTTTGTTGTTATTTTTAAAGATTTACTTAATTTTTAGTTGTGTGTATGCATGTGTGTTCGTGAGTATATGCGTGTGAGTGTAGGTGCCTGTGGGGGCCTGATGAGAGCATTGGATCCCCTAGGACTGGAGTTATACACAGTTGTAAACTGCTTGATGTGGGTGTTGGGAACAGAACTCTGGTCCTCTGCAAGAGTAGTATGGGTTATTAACTCCTGACCCATCTCTCCAGCATTTTATCCGCTATGAGGTCACAAGTGTTTATCATTCACTAGACCCACAAAAACTGTGAGACTGACTTTGCTTCCAAAGTTTCTTCCTGCAGGCCCTGGCTCAACACAGTGTGGGAGAACTCTATCCTGGCTTACCCTTGGGAGAGCATGATTCTGGGCACACAGTTTAAAAAGTGCTCATGGTCATTTCTAAGACAAAGCCTCTCCTTAGCTCTGTGTTGCCCTGTGCTGAGTTCTTTCCTTTTTCAGGAGTGAGTGGTTGCTTTAGCTTGACTTATTCTGTATAAAATATTTGCGGGAGGCAGCCTTACAAGGTGTGTAGATGCCACACCTTCCCAAGACTCATGCTGGCCATGGGACCATAATACAGGCCTGCACATGCCACCGCAAGTGATCTCAGGACAGGCATGTCTGATTCCCTTATTTGGGAACTAAGTCTAGCTTCCTCTGAAATGGTGGTCGTATGATCAGAATGTGAAATGATAATGGGTCATGCCCATAGAAGGATGGCCTTAGAGGATGCCCCTGATGGCTGGTTCTTGATGAAGGCTGTTGCTGTTGCTTTTAAAGGAGAGAACACTGGCTTCACAGTCCTTGTTGGGGGGTGGAGGATATAGTGTATGTTTGTGTGTGTGCAGGTATGCCTGTGTGTGTATGAAAGAGAGACAGACCGAGAGAGAAGAGGCCAGAGATCAACATCAGATGTTGCCTACCTTGGGGTTGAGGGGGTTGCTTTGTTTTTATTACATTCCGTTTATATTCTTTGTGCTTGTGGGGGGGGCATGCATGTGCATGGTGCACATGTACAAGTCAGAGGACAGCGTGTGGGACTCACTTCTCTCCTACCTTGTAGGTTCCAGGATCAAACTCAGCACATCTGGCTTGGTGGCAGGTGCCTTTTCCCCATGAGCCCTCAGCAGCCCCACATTGTGTTTTTTGTTGTTTGTGGGCTGGTTGGTTGGTTGAGACAGGGTCTCTCTGTAATCCCAGCTGACCTGGAACTCACTATGTAGACCAGACTGGTCTCCATCTCACAGAGGTGTACCTGCCTCAGCCTCCTGAGTGCTGGGATTAAAGGTGTGCTGCCATCACTGGCCTCCCATCTTGTGGGTTTTGTTTTTTTTTTTTGGTTTGTTTTTTATCTTCTGTAGCCCCAGCTGTCCTGGAACTCACTGTGTAGACCAGGCTGGCCTTGAACTCACAGAGATTTGCCTGCCTGCCTGCCTCTGCCTCCCCAGTGCTGGGACTAAAGATGTGCGCCACCACAACTGGCCTCCTATCTTGTTTTTTAAGGCAGCCTCTCTCACTATGACCTGGGCTTGCTGATTCATCCAGGTTGGCCATGGAGCTATCAGGATCCTCTATGTCTGCTTCCCTAGATATAACATACTACCACACCTGGGTTTTTATGTGAGTGATGGGACTTGAACTCAAGTCCTCCTGTTTTTTGTGGCAAGCACTTTACTGACTGAGCCAATCTCCCTAGCTGCACAGTCTTAAATCCTAGTTGGTGCTCTGATTCCTTCGATGGCTTTCTGAGGGGAAGCCTGAGAGATGCTGCATGCATGGCATGTGTGTCCTGCTGCAGGGAGGGAGGCAGATGGAGAGCTGCACTAAACCCTCTGGGGCGCAGAAGGACAGGACCAGGGGCTGTGCCTTCTTCAGTTCCATTACAGAGGAAG